GACTCTTAATTTTTAGGCTCAAAGCTTTTCGATTAAAGCCTAATTTATGGTATAAGGCCCGTTTCAATTTTGAAAAAATTTTCAGACAAAATGCGATGTTTACATGTGTGTCTCGGCTAGGCTGTTGATTTGGTTGTGTGATGGTGATTTTTTTATGTTGGTGGAGGTTGTGGTTTTAGGGTGTTCTAGTTAGATAGGCAAAAGTAGGTGGTGCTTGACTGATGGTGGTGGTTATGGAGTGCTGATAAGGCAAGATGAGTGCAAGTTGTCGATGAGAGCTATGGAAGGGCTGTGGAATTTTTTTATGAAAAATTTTGTTGCGGACTTGGTTTCGGTTGAGGCCCTTGTTGAAAGGAGAGGGGAGAATAGGTGGTGGCTGGGGTGGTTTTGATGATGCCGTGAATGAAGGGAGTGTGATTTTTGTTGGAAGAGGTTTTTTTTTTGTGTCTTTTTTCCTGGCCTAGTGGTATTGGGATGCTGGAAATTTTTTTATTGAATGGGTCTATTGTAGATATTTTGTTGTGTGTTTGTGAATTTTTATCTGTGAATTTGGGTTGCAACAATCTAAGGTTTAACAGCTCCTCAGAGTTGCAAAGTAGCGGCCAACAGGTTAATGGAGTAGGGTAGTGGTTACTAGCAGAGCCATAACATGTTTTCTTGCTTTTTTTTTTCATTTATCTTTTGTAATTTCTTATTTAATTAAAGTAATTCAATAAAATTAGGCGTAAATTTTGGGCTTTAAATTATACTGCATTTGGACCATTAATAACAGATTCGAAGCTTTAAAAAAGGTGTCCTAGGCTTTCTTTATCAAATTTAAGTTTTAAAAAATATCACGGGCTCTCAAATTTTAACTCAAAATTAATCCATTAACTAAATGGATTTAAGTTTGAATCCATGCAAAAATAATCCAAAAACGATTAATCCTAATTAAAGTCTAATTGAGCTCAATTTGGAATGCATGATTTGGCTTGAATCAAAATGTTTAAATTAAGTATAAAAATTGAACAATTTCAAATTGATTTGAACAAAATTAAATGTCTACACCTAATCCATAAATATTTTTATTAGTGACTTATCTCGAAATTTTTTTAAGGTGTCCAATTTTATGGACGAAAAGAGTATTAAGGGAAATTTTTTGGGTTGCTTAGCAGAAATTTTTTCTTCAAATCTTTTTATGTTTTAATCTTTGAAATTGTCCATAAACACCCTCACTAAACACATGAATCTGTAGCTGATCTTCATGCATTACAAGAAAAAAAAATGATATACACAAATATGTATACATACATAAATTCAATGATTGCATGATTCATTCAATAATTATTAACAATAATACAAGAGACTTATGTGAGCCAGTGGTTTCTTTCAATGAGACGTCCCTAATTATGTACATATATTTTTGCAGAAAAAATGTAAATATGAAAGTTACATGTTATGTCAATACAAAAATAATTTTTTTTTATTTGGTTAAACACATATATGAATTTTATTAAAATTTTAAATCATATTATCTTCGTATCTTTTTTATACTATATTTTAAATTATCATATATTCTTCTAACTTTTTACAACTTAAATTAGACTAGACAATAATATATAAAAAAAAATTCTATTGATGGATTATCAATTTTATCCATGAAAATGGTGTCTAAAAAAATTTTTGAGGTGAAATTTTTTTTTCATTTTTCAATTTTTAAAGGTGCTCAGAAGAAAATTTTAGAGGCGTCCAACATAATTTTTTTTTAATTTTTTAATTTTCCAATTTTTAAGAATGTTTATGGACACCCCATAATTCCATGTAAATCTACCACTGCTAGCCTTCCTTCTCCAAGTAATACCATGAATCTTCAAGGTAAGTCCAATTTTTAGTAATAATAGAACCTAGGCATAGCTCACAATATATACCAATTTTGGTATTTAATAGAAATGGGAATAAATAGCCGCTCTCACTTGGTTTAATTTTTAGCTAAAATGGTAAGAATGGTTCATGATTTTGGTAGAAATTTTAAGTTCAAGTTATAGTATTTCCTTTATAAAAGGGTAAAAAAAAAATGAAGATATCATGGTTCATGGTGAAAGTAGTTAGATGATCATATAATTTTGTTAATAATTAGTGTAAGTAAAAGGTTGTCCTAGATAAAGGTCTAACTATAAGGTTCTGGTGTTGAAATAATGAAATTAATATCCTCCTAATTTAAACAAAAACTACAAAGACAAAAAAAATTACTACTAACATTAGTTTTTAGACACTTATATTTTTAGTACGATGAGACCATATTTGTTTCTAGTAGCATTCCCTGTGTGAAATTGGCATCCAATTGTATTATTACTTACTAATGTGGACTTTGTGCACCCAAATTGAAGTTCTTAAGTAATTTGGGCTAGTTTATCTAATTTTCCTTTTTATTTTATATGAGTGTTTTTTATGTTTTATCTGTCATTTAACATGTTATATTTGATCCTTATCTAGATAATTGGATAGCTAGATTGATTCAATAACATCAAGTAATCCCTTTAATAGCAATACTCCACTCGATAGTCAAAGTGTTTGTGATGTGTCACTAATTAATGGTTGAAACCTTTCAATCAAGAACTTGCGATTAGTGGTTGAAACTCATATTTCTAAAGTAACAACAATAACAATAACAAATAATTTAGGAATGTCACTATGCCTTTCCCATCATATGCTAAAAGACCACATAGTGGCAAATTGAGATGCCTAACATCGAAGATATAAGAACGTTTTATTAAATTGTAATGTAATTAGATTTGATAATTTAAAATACAAAACGATGACACAATATAAACCCAATAAAAAAAAAAAACATGACAATGACAAAGTTTAAAATTTTTGTAATAATTATATATGTGTTTAACAAAATCAAAAAATAAAATTTCATATTTTTGTATCAACATGAATTGTTATACATAATTTTTATATAAAACATGACATAAATATATAAATTTTTTACTATTTTATATGATACGAACACACAAATTACCAAGTCTACTTATAACGGTAGAGTCTAACAAAAGCCTCTTGCAAATATTGTGATAAAAGCATGAAGTATCCTAATATAATAGAATTGTTGTCTTGTGTAGCCATAAGAATAGATAACCCAAAAACCCTTTGAACAAACTTGATGAAAATCAAAGACTTCAATTTTTAAAGTTCTGTCTAATGATGAAGCAAGGAATAATAGTAGTTCATCACTTGTTACATAAAATTTTGATCAAGAAATTTGTAAAAAATATTGTGCTAAGATGATCATCTTGGATGAATTGCCTTTTATGATTGTTAAGCATAAGGGATTTTGTGACTTTTGTAGTGTTATGCAATCTCAATTTCAAGTTCTTTTAAAGTTTATTATGGTTAAGGATTACTATAACTCTTTTTTTAATGAGAAAAAAAAGCTTTTCTTATACATAAAAAACTCAAAAGTAAGAGTTTATCGTACTATTAATATTTGGACTTCTAGATAAAACCTTAATTATATGTGTCTTACAGTTCATTTCATTGATTAAGAGTGAAAATTACATCAATGAATGTTGACTTTCAATCCAATTCTTGATCATTCCATTAATATTATTGAAAAATGCATTGAAACCATTTGCTTGGATGGTGAATAAATAAAGTTTTTATTATTATGATAGATAATGCAAACGCTTTTGATCTAAGATCATATTTGATGCATAAAATGATGGATAAGATAGGATAATAGTGATTTTTATTATGATTGATTTGTATCTATAAAAAAAATATGATTATAAAAAAAATTAATCATCTTTTGGTATAAGATGATTCAATAATTTCAAAATATAAAAAATTATTTTTAATTTATAAGATTAAATTTATATGTTTTATTATATTCTTAAAAATTACATTAATACTTTAAATTATATAAATTTTTTAAAAAATAATTTTAATTAATAAATAAATTATCATATTTTTAATTTTTACATACATTAAACAAAAATAAAATAATTTAATTTAATTTAATTTTATTTATAATATCATTTTATCTTCTAAACACATCTTAAATATTTAATATGTAAAAAAAAATTTTAATAATTAAAAAGATAATATTTTAAAAAATGAATATTTGTATGTGAGATGTTCTACACACATTTTATTATCTTATCTTATAACGAAAGAGGGATTGATGGATTTGAATGTTTCTTTCCAATCTGTTTTGTAGTGGGGCACACATTTCAATATGCTTTACCTTTAGTATTAATTTGACAACTTATACTATATATATATATATATATATATAAAAGTAAAACAGTTTTCAAGTAATAAATTTGACAACTAATATAGAAGTGGGGCCACACACTTCAGCTTTAGTATAACCAACCAAAAGAGTACTTGTCAATATAATATCCAATACGCTTGTGGAGACCCATAGTCTCTGCCCGTTCGGCTAAAGAAAAAGACCTATTAATTATTATTACCTTTTTTTTTTTTGCCAGTTGATACTTCCAATTGTTTAATTAAGGTTATTCATGACACCTGTTTTTATTTTTAAAAAAAATACATAACACAGTAATCGTTTCATTTGAGTTTGAATTATTTTTATATTAAAAAAATTATTAAATAATATAAAATTTGATATAAATATAATATAAAAATAACATGAATTAAAATTATAATAATTATTATATATAAATTTAATAAAATAAAAATTATATATTTTATATTTTTATATTAATATAAATTATAATATATAATTTTTATACGAAATATAATATAAATATATAAATTTTAATATTTTATACAATTTAAATACACTATTCGCTGATGGCAAATGGATGGTTCATCCATGATGGCAACTACTGACAGAATATCCCAAGAATAAAAAAGGTGGCAATCACCATCATGTATCCCACAACAAAAGATTTAAGAAAAAAAAAGAGAAAAAATAATTAATACTAAGATCCCATTTGCATTTGAGTCTATGTTTAATCAATGTAAACTTTTTTTATTTAAAATTGTAAAAATTTAAACTTGATCATCGAAATTAAAAGATCAACCATAATACCCAAATTTATTCTGATTATCGGAATTAAAAACACATTCATAACACCAAATAAGATAGAGTTCTAAGATTAAAGTTCACGATCGCGACGAAATTATTAAATTATAATAGCAATGCCAAACTAGATTGACTAAAATACTAATTTAGTTGGTGAAATTTGCAATGGTGGCATGTGACTCACAAGCCTTAGCAGCTGGGGTGGCTTCAACAGCAGGGTTGGGCTCAACAGGCTTGCAAAGGAGCTCCTGTGGGAGTTCACCAATACCCTTCAAGTAAAATGTGTAGAAAATCTTGAAGGGAAAAACAATTTGCTGCAGTTTAACCTGACCGGTCACACCTTCAAAAATCCCTGACCCACCAGTAACAGCCAGATACGTGTCCTCGTAAGTCAAATATGGTCCCTGCACCGCTATGTGACCGTAGTCTCCAAAGTAAAAGCTGTAGATGGCCTCGTAACGGTCACCTTTCTTTTCCGGTTTGTTCTCGATTAAAATGCATATCCCTGCTGTTATTCCTATACGTTTCTCCAAGTCTCCGGTGTATATCTGAAATAATATTCTAAAATTTTAGAATAAAAAGGAATTTATTTTTTTAAAAATAACGTTGAAAAATCTGAAATAAAAATTTTAATCGCACTTATACGACATAAAAAATATATAAAATATAATATAAAAATAATACAATCTAATATTAAATTTTTAAAAATAATAAATTTATATTTAAATTTAAATTTAAAAAACTTCACAATAATTTTTATATTTTATATATTTAATATGAAATAAATATAATTATACAAATTATCCTATGTATCAAATTGACTAGCACGTTTACACATATATATAATTTCTTTTTCTGTTAAATTAGATATAATGCTATTTCATATTATTACTCTTTAATGGTTTAATATTAAGAAATTACAATTAAATTAAATGTGTTATTTTTCTTGAATTTAATTAAAAATATTACTTTAATAAAAGTGTTTTGTTTTTATTGGGAATTATTTATTTATGTGCTTTTCCAGGAAGATGTTTTGTTTTTTTTTTATTCTGGTGGAAAAAATTTGCAAGTTGTAAATCAAACTTTTACTGGTTTTTTTCCCAAGAAACAAACAAGAAACATAGACCTATAATTTCACCATTTTCACAGAAAAGTCAAAGAAATAAAAGATCAAAATTCAACAAATACCAAAATTTTGATTGTTTTGGTTTCCTCAATAAATTTAGTGACGAACTTACTTTGTTGCTAAAAGGGACAAGATCACCAAGAGAGTTAACAGGTTTCTGACTCAAACGAAGATAAGCTGGACTGCCACGATCTCTTTCATTGATCTCATAAACATACAATTCTTGAACTTTATCTGAAACAAAGAATACCCAAACAAGTTATCAACAAGATCAACCCAAAAAACCAAATCAAATTGAAAAAATTGAAGTAAAAAATTGTTGGGTTTCAATCAAAATTACTGGGTGTTGAGTTATCAGATGGAATAGCCTGGCTTTTGCAAGTGAAAGATCGTTTGGGAACTGTGAAACTGTTGCATGTAAAAAGCTTGTGCCTTAGATTTAAGGATGGGTTTTTGATGAGCTTGAAAGATGAAGCAGGGAACATGGGATTGGTCTTTGAAATGAAGTTTGATGATGATCTGGGGTTACCTAGCTTCACAGGAGAAATGGTAGTTCCTAGAGCAGAGCTTGAGGCAGCCATTGCTGTTTCTTTTTTGCTTTGGTAGGAGCGTTTGGGGTGAGAGAAAAAGGAGGAATTGGTGAGAAACTGTGGGCGAGTGGGACTGGGTTTATATAGAAAGGAAAATAAATGTTAGTGGAGGGTGAATTTTGTCTGTTTTGGTTTACGCCTCCTGACTTAAAATATAATATGAAAAAATATAAAATATATATATAAATAATACGTATTAAAATTTTAACTATTTTTCATATTAGTGTAAAATATAATTTTTAATTTTTACAAAAAATATAAATTATTCATTTTTATATTATATTTTATCTTATAATAATACATTAATTATTAAATTTATTTATGATAAAGTCGAATCTAAATTCATGAATATTCTTAAAAGTTAAAAGGAAAATTTTCCCTTAAGACATCTTTAAATTTTTTTTAAACATTCAAAATTTAAAAAAAAGAATTGGACACCCAAAGTTTTAAAAAACCAAAAATTAAAAAAAAATTTTTGAACATTTAAAATTTTTTAAAACACATTTTTTATTGATAAAATTAATAAAATTAATTAATAATAATTTCTACATATTATAAATGAACTAAGGAATGACGGTAGAGGCTTGAGCGTGGGATGTGGACTACTCAAAGGAGTCTTCAATGTCAATGAAAAACATGGTAAGAAGAACATACGTTTTTTTTTTTTTTATGTATGTATGATACACGTGATTTTTTTTATTTTTTAATAATTTGGACGGAAACAGGTTTGATTTTTCCTTTGAAAAACTGTCTTCTTATATTTTCGGTAGTCACCGGCTAAAAAATCGAATGAAATTAATTAACCGATTATTAGCAGTGATAGATTTATAAATAAAAAATTGTTAATAGGTTTATTAATTTAATTCACCAAAAAAATGTCAAAATAATTATTAAAAAATTTTTTTTACTTTTTGAAAATGTTATAAATACTTTAATTTACCATTAGATTCATGCCTAAATGTTAGATTTATGCTTAGATTGGTTGGACGGTGCTATGAGATTTTCGTCGACCTTCCATACCAAGCAATAGAATAATTTTACTTGCCATATAAAGCATTGAAAATATACATTCCAAATTTACTATTTTATTTAAGTTTTATTTAATTGGAGTAATAAAAATTAAAAAAATAAAAAATTTATTAATTTAATTATTAAAACTCATAATAACATTTTTATTTTATAATTTAACCATTAAATTAATAAATTTTACATTTTCAACTCTTTTTAACTTTACAACAAATAGTCATACTATTTGCGCCAGCGGTTTTGTGTTCAAAGACTAACGAGCTAGACTACCTGCCCATGATTTGGTGATATTATTATATTAATAAATAATATTATATTTTATCTAATTAATTATATTTTTGGCCAAAATTTTTTACTTATTTTTTAAAATATTAAAAATATTAATATAAAAATATTTTTAATATTTTTAATATTTTAATAATAAGTATAACATAAATGGTCATATCATTGTTTTTGAATTAAAGTTAAGAATGATATTTAAATTATAATAAAATATTTAATATGATATCTTAATTTTAAAAATTTTGAATGTGATATTTTAATTATAAATTTATTAATTAATGTGTTATTTAATTTTAACGTATCTTATACAAATATATAAAAATCAAAATCTTTAATAAAAAAATAGTTTGATGTTGATAGCTTATATTTTTAACAAATGGACGAGTTTAAAAATCACCATGTGTTCTCTAATAAATATATTTTATTTATTTAAGATATTTTTATGTTTTATAGCAATATTTTTATTACTTAAAAAGTAATAAGTTGACTAAATTAATTACATTTATTACCTTTTAAATATCTAATATTTTTACTTTATATGAATAAATTTTAATTAATTTGGCCAATAATACAAATAAAAATAGAAACTAAATAAAAAGTTAATTAATCATAAATATTTTTCCATCTTATAGAATTATGTAAAAGTTAAAACCTTTAATATAAAAGAAAATAGTCTGGTGTGTATAGCTTATAATTTTGGCTTGTGTATGGGTTTAAAAAATCATCATGTGTTCTCTAATAAATATATTTTATTTATTTAAGATATTTTATTTTTTTAGTAATATTTTTATTACTTACAAAATAATCAGTTAGACTAAATTAATTACATTTATTACCTTTTAAATATCCAATATTTTTACCTTATATGAATAAGTTACTATTAATTTGACCAATAATACAAATAAAAATAGAAACTAAATAAAAAGTTAATTACTCATGAATATCTTTCCATCTTATATAAATATGTAAAAGTCAAAATCTTTAATAAAAAATAAAATAGTTCAGTGTGAATAGCTTATAATTTTGACATGTGGATGGGTTTAAAAAATCATTATGTGTTCTCTAATAAATGTATTTTATTTATTTAAAACATTTTTATTATTTTTATAGTAATCTTTTTATTACTTAAAAATAATTAATTAGACTAAATTAATTACATTTATTACCATTTAAAATAACAAATATCTTTACCTTAAATAAATAAGTTACAATTAATTTGGTCAATAATACAAATAAAAATATAATCACACATGAATATTTTTTTCATATCTTCTAATTATGATAAAAAATTAAATAAAATTTAAAGTAATAAATAAGGAAAGAGATATTAGCCATTTAACAGGCTAACAATAATGATATCATTAAATTAGGAAAGATTTTGTGTTCATTTTTAAAAATACAGATTAGGTAAAAAATAATAAGTTTTTGAAAAAAAATAAAATATACTCTCCAATTTTAAGTACAATTATATATAAAGAATTTTTTGTACTTTAATTTCAATTTGAAATAACTACAATATATAAATTTGAAATTTAAAAGAAAGATAATATTTTTTGGAAACTTAATTAATTAAAATAATTTTATAAAAGTTAAAAACCCCGTGCTTTGCACCTATCGACTTAAAATATAATACAATAGTATAATTCGAAAATATAAAATATATATATAAATAATACATATTAAAATTTTAACTATATTTCATATTAGTATAAAAAATAATATTTAAATTTTTATAAAAAATATCAATTATTCATTTTTTAATTATATTTTATATTATAATAATACATTAATTATTAAATTTATTTATGATAAAGTCGAATCTAAATTCATGAATACTCTTAAAAATTAAAAAATTAAAAATAAAAGTTAAAAGGAAAGTTTCCCTTAAGACATCTTTAAAATTTTTTAAACATTCAAAATTAAAAAAAAAAAAAAAATTTGGACACCAAAAGCTTTAAAAAACAAAAAATTAAAAAAAATTATTTTGAACAATAAAATTTTTTAAACACATTTTTTATTGATAAAATTAATAAAATTAATTAATAATATTTTCTATATATTAAAAATGAACTAAGGAATGACGATAGAGCTATGAGCCTGGACTGTGAAACAGTCAAAGCAGTCTTCAATGTCAGCGAAAAATATGGCAAGGAGAAATACGTTTTTTTTTTTTTTGGATGTATGTATGATACACGTGATTGTTTTTTTTTTTTAATAATTTGGACGGAACAGGTTTTATTTTTCCTTTGAAAAACTGTCTACTTATGTTTTGGGTAGTCACCGGCTAAAACATCGAATGAAATAATGAACCGGTTATTAATAGCGATGGATTAAATTTTTTTAAAATGTTTATTTATAATATAAATAAAAAATTATTAATAATTTATTAATTTAATATAAAAATGTTAAAAGAAAATACGAAATTATTTACAAATTATTTAAAATTTTTTTATTTTTTAATTTTTAAAAATATTTATAAATAATTTACTATTAAATTTTGACCTAAATATTAAATTGAAGGTCAGCTTGGAAGGACGGTGCTATGAGATTTTCATCGACCTTCCAAACCAAACACATTTAAAATTTTTTTTTCAAATTTACTATTTTATTTAAGCTTTACTTAATAAAAATATTTAAATTTTATTAATTAATAATTAAAATTCATAATAATTCTTACTTTATACCTTAACCGTTAAATTAATAAATTTTACATTTTCAACGCTTTTCTGCTTGTCAACAAAGAGTCGTACTAATTGCTCCATCAATTTAGTGTACAATGACTAATGAGCTAGACTACCTGCCCAAGATCACAGGCTTGATTTGGTAATATTATTATATTAATAAATAATACTATATTTTATCTAATTCTAATTTTGAATTATATTGTTTGGCCAAAAAAATTTTATTTATTTTAAAATATTAATATAAAAATACTTTTTATATTTTAATAACAGATATAACATAAATGATCATATCATTTTTTATGAATTAATGTTAAGAATGATATTTAAACTATAATAAAATACTTAACGTGATATCTGAATTTTAAAAATTTTGAATATGATATTTAAATTATAAATTTATTAATTAATATATTACTCACTTTTAATGTATTTTATATAAATATATAAAAATTAAAACTTTTAATAAAAAAATAATCCTGGATAGTTTATATTTTTGATAAACGGATAAATTTAAAAATCACCATGTGTTTTCAAATAAATATACTTTATTAATTTAAGATATTTTTATTTTTTATAGCAATATTTTTATTACTTAAAAAATAATTGGTTAGACTAAATTAATACATTTATTATCTTTTAAATATCCAATATTTTTATCTTATATGAATAAGTTATAATTAATTTGGCCAATAATACAAATAAAAATAGAAACTAAATAAAAAAAAGTTAATTACTTATGAATATTTTTTCATCTTATATAAATATGTAAAAGTTAAAACCTTTAATAAAAAAGAAAATAGTCCAATAAAAGTAACTTATAATTTTGACATGTGGATGGGTTTAAAAAATCATGTTCTGTAATAAATGTGTTTTATTTATTTAAAAATTTTTATTATTTTTTATAGTAATCTTTTTATTACTTAAAAATAATTAGTTAGACTAAATTAATTACATTTATTACCATTTTAAATATCAAATATTTTTGTCTTATATAAATAAGTTACCATTAATTTGGTCAATAATACAAATAAAAATAGGAACTAAATCAAAAGATAATCACTCATGAATTTCCATATCTTTTAATTATGATGAAAAATTAAATGAAATTAA